ATTCATGCCCAATTCAAACAGCTTAATCGATGGCTGAATAAATAGCAGTTCTCCTACATAAAAAAAAAAGAAAGAAAGAAAAGAAAAGGTTCTCCTTGAAGGATGGCACTGATTCTCTTCTCGATAAACCCTCACATGGGGTATGAAGCCAAGTGAACCTGCCACAGTTCTCTCTCCCCCGCCCACCCCACTTCCCCACCTCTGTACCCCTACCTCTGCCCCAGTCTCAACCCCCTATATCCCAAACCAGAACATTCCTATCACAGTTTGGGGTATATTTGGGTATGCTCACAGTTTCTCCGTATTAACTAACAGTAATCACCTTTTCAGGAAACTGTGTCCCTCCCCGATGTCTTTCCCCACGAAATAATCTACCAAATTATACCACACAGGAATGTCCTGCAACAGACAGGGAAGGAGCCTCTTTATTTGCTGAAGAAGTTAGTTCATAAAAAAAACAAACAGAAAAACCACATGGGGGTGAGGTAGAAAAAATGTGAAGAGAGAAGGAACAGAGGGATGAGGGTATGCACTGTCACCTGTCAGGTCTGATGAGGCATGTGCTTCTCCCTGAGGATGCCCCTTAAGCCGCACCAGACGAGGTCCCAGAGTGATCCTGGTCGCGTCTGCCTCTGCGAGCTGTGGCAGCTCGAATCGAATGGAAGCGTTCAGTGAATATTCTAATCACCAGTCCCAACTGTTCCACAAGACGGTCCCATTCCCAGTGCCTTCTGTAGACATGGGTGTGGGTGTCTGGGTACGGGGTGTGTGTGGGGGTGTTGGGGGCACAGAGACACAGGAGAGAGAGGGCCAGCACGGTGCTCAGAGCCCTGGGTGAGCCGTCTCCAGAGTTTGCACTTTGGTCCCACATGCACAGAGAACCTGGGAACCCAGGCCTTCTGCTCCTGAAAATTTACATTTTTACGTTCTCCCATCTCTCTCTCTCTCACTCTCTCTCTCTCTCTCTCTCTGCTTTGACGTTCTCTGCTCCTTCCTGACTGCTTCCACCTTACTGATTTCCCCCTCCCGCCCTGAGTCCTCCAGAGACCAAAAAACTAAGCCAGAGTCAGAGAGAGGGCATGAATTAATTTCCATGTCTTTGCATCTTGCAGGAAAATAGTGGGCCTTTGAGGCAGCTGTATTTTCTTAGGCCTCCCTCCTGCCACTCAATCCATCTTTTTTCTTTTTCTTTTTGGGTTACACCCGGCAATGCACAGGGGTTACTCCTGGCTCTGCACTCAGGAATTACTCCTGGAGATGCTCGGGGGACCATATGGATTCGAACCTGGGTAGGCTGCGTACAAGACAAATGCCCTACCTGCTGTGCTATCACTCCAGCCCTCAATTCATCTTTTAAGAAAATGTGGGTCTACTCCAACGTCCGAATCCCCGTTCATAAGATGGGGGGCGGGTTAGGTTGGAGAGTTGGGCAGACAGGGTCACAGAGCGACCCTGGGCAGGTTACTCTTGTCTGCATACCATACCTGGAAACTGGAGAATCCAGTATTATCTGCAATCTGGTTACTGTTTACTGTCGCCAGGGTTACTTACTGTCATCCTCATTCTCCAGGTATGGCAGCCAAAAGCTTGTCCTAGGGTTATGTAACCTATGAGTCGCTTGGGTGTGGACCTGGAAGCACTCATCCTCCCCAGCCACTAAGGGGAGGGAACTTGCTTTCTTTTTCTTGATTGACGAAGTCTTCTTCTTCAGGCCTCCCATTGTCCTGACTCTCACTGTTGCATCCTCTTTTTTTTTTTTTTTTTGCCTCTTGAAGAAGGGTAGGTTTGGAAGATCTCTATCCCTGGGCCCCTGCAGGGTAAGGGGCACCCGGAAGGGATCCTAGAGGCTCCATCACACCCGGCAGGGCTTGGGGGGCTACGTGCAGCTCTGTGCTTGAGGTAATCCCTGGGGATGCTCCTGGGACGGATTGAACCCAGGCTGACTGCTTGTCAGGCAAGTGCTTTAGCCTGGGTCCTAACTTTCCAGACCACCAGACCCAGCGCGTGGAGGAAGTGGTCAGAGGCCCAGGACACCCTCCGCTTTCTTACTTTGGGCTGGAGCGAGAGCCACACAGCTGGTGGGGCTGGCTGTGTCCTGCGGATGCATGCTGTCAAGCTTGGAGGGGGCAATTATCTGTGTCTTTGATTAATAAAAAATGGAGCCGTGAAGCCGTGAATGAATACTTAATCAGCGCAGGCTGGAGAGGGCAGCCTGGCAGGGATGACGCTTTCAAAACCTGGGCTGGGGGTGAGGCAGGGAGCAATCAAAGGGGTCCTGGGCTAGTGGTTGGAAAGGCTGTTGCCCCTCCCAAGAAACGGTTTTCTGAAAAGCTGAGCTGCCCCCGGCTGCTTCTGCACCTGGGATTTGAAGCGGTCCCAGGAGCATCTGTGCACGTGGGGAAAAAACGTTCTGTGTCCACCCCCGTAGTCAAGGTACCACCCCCGTAGTCAAGGTACCGTGCACGCCTTAGGGTGTGTGCATGGGTGTGGTGTGCGTGTGCGTACACATGCGTCTGTTTCCTGCTCATGAGCATTCTGTGTTCCTGTGCGTCCGTGTGTTGTGCGAGTGTGCACGTGCTGTGTGCTTACATGGGTTTTGTGCGTGGACCGTGTGCCTTGTGTGTATGTGTGTGTGTGCGTGTGTGTGTGTGTGCCTGTGTTGGGTAGGCCTGTGTGTTCTGTGCACACATGTACCCGTGCGTGTTGTGTGTGGACCTATGTTGTGTACACACATGTTGTGTGCACGCATGTTGTGTGTGCATGCCTGGGTTGAGTGAAGGCGTGTTGGGTATGCGTGCTTTGTGTTAAGCGTGCGCACATCATGTGCACCTACATAGGGTTGCATGCGCGTGGTATCTATGCTGTGTGCACGCATGTTGTGCGGGCACAGCTGCAGTTGAATGCATGAGCAGTGTTGTGTGCGCGCCTGTGTCGTATGCGCGCCTCGGCTGAGTGCACGCCGGTTGTGGGTGCACCTAGTTGTGTGCGCACGTGTTGCACTGTGTGTGCGCGCCTGTGTGGTGTGCGCGCGTGCTGCGACTCCGGGATGGTCCGGGCGCACTCCAGGGCTGGCACTCCAGGCTGGTCCACTCCGGGGACACCAAGTTGTTTGCAAAGTGAGCGGAGGCGGAGAGCGGCGCGGGCAGCGGGGAGAAGTACAAAGCGCCCGGCTGGCGCGGGGCGGGCGGGGAGGCCGCGGGGCGCGGGGGGTGGGGGGGCCGCGGGGCGGGCCACAGAGAAGGAAGTGATGGGAAGCGGGGTGGAAGCCCTCCCCGGGCGCCGTCCCCGCGCGGGCCCTTCCGGGCAGCGGCAGCACCGACGGCGGCGGCGGCGGCGGTGGCGCGGGCCGGACGCGCGACTCTGGGCTGGCGCCGGGCGTGCAGGCGGCGGGTAGGCGCGCGGGGGGGTGGGGGGGGGTCACCCGAGCTGGGCGGTGGGGTAGGAGGGGTGCGGCGCCCCCCGGAGAGACGTGGCGGGGCGCGCTGGGAGGGGGGTGAGGGCGTGGGAGTCCCCCAGTGGGGTCCCGACCACCGCGCGCGAGTCGGGGCATTTGGGGCATTCCACTGCCCGCCCCCCCTCTCCCCGGGAACTCACGAGCCGGTGACCTTGCAAGTTGGTGACTTTTCCCTGGAGCTTTAGTTTGTTGTTAGTCAAGAGACTCAAACTCTGCCAGGCCGTTTGCGAGAACCTGTAGAGGAGAGAGAGAGAGAGGAACAGAGAGAGCGCGCGGTGGCGCCTTGGCCCTGCCCGCTGTCCTCTCTTCCCGCCAACAACTGGCAGGGCTCACAACTGTTAACTGTTTTAGGGGGCAGCCTCTGTTCCCCATGCTCCCACCTGCACTGCTGTGGGTGCTGCTGCTGCTAGTGGCCTTGGAGGTTGTTTTTATTTTATTTTATTTTATTTTTGCTTTTTGGGGTCACCCCGGACGATGCTCAGGGGTTACTCCTGCCTCGTGCACTCAGGAATTACTCCTGGAGGTGCTTGGGGGACCATATGGGATGCTGGGAATTGAACACAGGTCGGCCGCCTGCAAGGCAAATGCCCTACCCGCTGTGCTATATTGCTCCAGTCCCTTGGAGGTTGTTTTAAAATTAAAAATTAATTTATTAAAAATTATATCTGTCTATACGGTTATGGGTCACATAAAGAGATGCTCAAGGGTTACTCCAGGCTCTGCACTCAGGAATTACTCCTGGTAGTGCTCGGATCTTATGGGATGCCGGGGATCAGCCGCCTGCAAGGCAAATGCCCTCCCTCCCTGCTGTACTGTTACTCCAGCCCCCAATTTAAATTTAATTTTGGGGCCACACTTGGTGGTGCTCAGGGCTGGGTCAGCAGTTGTTTTCTAACAACTGGTTCTTTCATCCACCCATGAAGAACCACCTTTCCCCCCCACGCACTTGCCTCTCTGCATTATTTAGTTTTGTTTTGGTTTTGGGGGGTGGGGCACACCTGGTTATGCTCAGGGCTTACTCCTGGCTTTGCGCTCAGGAATCACTCCACACCCTATGGGATGCTGGGGATCAAACCTGGGTTGGGCTGTGTGTGCAAAACAAGCGCCTTATCTCCCCCGCCCCCCCTTGGTTCTCTCTCCAGCTTCCTCAGCCTTATTTTTGACTTTTTCCAGTCACACCTGGCTGTGCTTGAGGCTTAAGCTCAATCACCGGTCACTCCTGGTGGGGCTCAGGAAACTAGATACAATATTGGGGATCGAATGCTTGCTCGGTGGCACGCAAGGCCAGCTCCGTACCCTACCCGCTGTACGATCTCTTGGCATATCATCCCCCCACCCCACCCCCACTCCACTGCCTTATTTCATAGTTTCCAGTGACTCGCTCTTCACCCAGTCTTCCTTTTCCCCTTTCCCCAGACTCGGCGAGAGCTCCCTGAGCAGAAGGAACTTCCCAGATTCTCCAGAGTCAGCACTTAGCGCGCCTGTGGGCAGCTCCGGAGGCCCACTCCCAACCCCCACCTTCGTGTGTGCTGCAAGGATCGCCTCCACCCCAGGCCATGCCTGGCCAGGGCCTGACCCTGCGGGTGGCCACCCTGCTGACCGGACTGCTGGAGTGCTTGGGCTTCGCGGGCGTCCTCTTCGGCTGGGCCTCACTGGTGTTCGTCTTCAAGACTGAGCATTACTTCGAGGGGCTCTGTGAATCGGGTGCCCAGCTGGCGGACAATGCCACAGGCCCGGCTGGTAAATAGCGGGAGGGTGGTCCTAGGAGGGTCAGGTCTGGTTTCCTGGAGGCAGGGAAGGATTAGGAGAGATTCCCTCACCTCACACCTGCCCATCCCACAGACCTGCGTATGGTAAAAGAAAGGGGGAGTCCGGATGCAACCCCCTCTGTGTTCCTGCCGCCTTGGTCTCAGAGGTGCCAGAGGAGGGAAATACCAGCTCCCGTCATTCCTCTGTGAACTTTCCAGAATGGACTAGCCTGCTTTAAAGGGAGCCAAGGGAACACCTGCTTAGCAGAAAAGAGAGATGGGAGCCGTGTGTGTGTGTGTGTGTGTGTGTGTATGTGTGTGTGTGTGGTCCCTGAGATCTCCCTTTCTCTTTTCCAGACTGCAAAGCCCAGGATGAGAGGTTCTCGCTCATCTTCACCCTGGCCTCCTTCATGAACAACTTCATGACCTTCCCCACCGGCTACATCTTCGACCGTTTCCACACCACGGCTGCCCGCCTCGTAGCCATGTGAGTGACCCTGGGTTCCAGCTGCAGCAGCCTCGCTGGGAGGGAGACGCAGGTTAGAGGGCCTGGGAGCCACCACCCAGCCCTAGGCCTCCATTCCCCCCTCGCCCCCCCCCCCCAGCTAGCGGTGCTCAGGGGTTACTCCTGGATCTGCACTCAGGAATTACTCCTGGCAGCATTGGGGGACCATATGGGATGCTGGGAATTGAACCCGGGCCAGCCTGTGTGCAAGGCAAACGCCCTACCCGCTGTGCTATCGCTCCAGCCCCTGCTGAGGGCTCTGGATAGGACCCCTGCTCTCTTTGCTCCCTCTCCTTCCTCTGCGCCATGTGACTGTGGCTTCTCACTGAATTGAGCGGGAAGCCGGGGCCTCGTTCCCGCGAAGGCGGGGCCTGGAGCCCTTGCTTATGAAATAAATGAGCAAAGCCGCAAGTCGAAGCTTTGCCTGCACCCAGCGGGAAATCCTTATCGTCACGTCAGATCTCATAGCCTGGTCACTCCGGCTTACTCATCCTCTATTCTACTCCCAGGATGAAGCGTTAAGCTAGTAAAATCTCCTGGGCGTGTCCCGTGGTAGAATTGCGGTGGGTGGAATTGGGTGGGGTCCTAGACAGATGAGTCAAAGGAGGGTCAGAGACTCGATCTTGCTCACGCAGGCACTATGGCGGCCCTGTCTCCTCGGCCAGGTCCCGTGATAAGCAGCAGCCTGGTGACAGTCGATAGGTCCCTTTCTGATGGCACACGAGGGAGGGTTTGTCGGCAGGGGCTCTGCAGGCTGGGCCGGCTGGAAACAGAGAGAAAAAGCAAGTTCCTCATTTTGAGTCTAGGTGTTTCCTGACTAGGAGCCCCACCAGTTCGGTCGCCTGAATCTTCCTGTCCGTTTGCTCCGTTCCTGTCTCTAGCCTTAGCATGTTCAGAAAACCTCTGTCTTCCTTCCCGGGCATGCCCCTTTGGTTCTCCACAGAACACGTTGCTTCTGATTCTGTTTATCCAATACTTGGTTTCTGCCTCTCTGCAGCTTGTCCACTCTGTTTGGACGCTGTCTCCTTGGATATCTGGCCTGCAAGCTAAGGGCCGCGCCCAAGATGCCAACCCTTCTCCCTTGACGGGAAATACTTTCAGTTTTCTTTTTTTCTGCTGCTGGGACGGTACCCAGGGCCTCACACACGCAGAACAACCACTCTCCCGCGGGGAGCTCTTTCTCCAACCTTCCCCCACATCCCCTCCCCCGTTTTTTTTTTGTTGCGCATGTTTTTTTTGTTTGTTTGTTTTGTTTTGTTGTTATTTTGGGTCACACCCGGCAATGCACAGGGTTTACTCCTGGCTCTGCACTCAGGAATTACCCATTGCTGGTGGTGCTGAGGGGACCATATGGGATGCTGGGAATTGAACCTGGGTTGGCGGCGTGCAAGGCAAATGCCCTACCTGCTGTGCTATTGCTCCAGCCCCCTTGTTTCGTTTTATGCTCCACACCCAGCAGTGTTTCAGGATCTTTCCGGCTTACTCCTGGCTCTGTGCTCAGGGATCACACCTGGCAGAGCTGGGTGACCCAACGTGATGCTGGGGATTGACCCCCTGGTCAGCCCTGTGCAAGGCAAGCCATTTCCCCGCTGGACCATCTTTTGCGGGGGTGTGTGTGTGTGGGAGGGCTGGGGGGTAACACCTGGTGGCACTCTGCAGTTATTTGTGGCTCCGTGCTTGTGGAGGACTCATGCAGTGCTGAGATGGAATTAGGGGCTCCACCTTGCGAAGCACGTGCGCCAGCTCTTTGAATTGGCCCTTCTAACCCGTTCTTCAGATGCCAACTGCAAGTCACCCGTTTCCAGGCAACTGCGGCTCTGCCTAACTTGGTCTCGCATCCAAGGTTCCTCCCGCTTGGAGTTGATTTTCAGAAAAACTCTCAGTGTTCAGGGAAAGCACAGTGTCTACCAGTAACTCCCCGGGGGGTTGTGCCGAGGACCAGCAGCCTGAGCACAGGGGCTGGAGTTGGGGGTGCCTGGCCCTCCCGGGGCAGGTGGATTCACCTTCCTGGAAACCCCATAGCGGTAGACTTTTGGGGAGTCCTCCTTCTGCCACACAATCAATGATTCACTCTATTTCTAGGCCCTCTCCCCTGTCCAGAGAAATGGAGGTGCATATCCCAAACCCCTAATGATGGCTTTTGCCTTTCTGGTGAATAGCCCCATCCGGGCGGGGGCTGACCCGAGCTGCCTCATTAGAATAGAAAATATTCCCAGTACTCTTATTTTTTTGCTTTGTGGGTCACACCCGGTGATGCACAGGGGTCACTCCTGCCTCATGCACTCAGGAATTACTCCTGGCAGTGCTCACGGGACCATATGGGATGCTGGGAATTGAACCCGGGTCAGTCGCGTGCAAGGCAAACGCCCTAACCACTGTGCTGTCGCTCCAGCCCCATTCCCAGTACTCTTATCACTTAAAATAAGAGCTGTGGGTCAGGGACAGGGATATATATCTAGATAAAAATATAAATATAAACATGTAAATATATTTATGTACAAATATCATGATCACAGCCATCCTGTTGTTCGTCGATTGCCTTGAGCAGGCCCCAGTAACGTCTCCTTCGTCCTAGCCCTGAGATTTTTAAAAAAGTGCCATGTTCAAGATTCTTTCAGGGTTAGGAGAATGAGACCCATCATTGTTACTGGTATTTGGCATATTGGGTACGCCACGGGGAGTTTGCCAGACTCTGCCATGTGGGCAGGTTACAGTCGGTAGCCTGCCAGTTTGTCCAAAGTAGGAATGAGATAATAAGATGTCACAATAAGATGTCGCATTAAAAAAAAAAAAAGATGTCGCATTCGCGGCCACACTTCCGGGAGCTGGGTTTTATAGTCTCGGAGTCTTGGCCGTTGATGGGATTACATGGCGCCAGGGGGCCAGTTGGTGGGTGTGACCCCTGCCTACTGTAATTTGGAGGATCTGGGTAGAGGATGCTCAGCCCCGATCCGAGCAGGCTTGGAGAGCTCAGTCCCGGGACCCGCACGCCTTTGTTCCTCGGCCGGTACCTTCATGCGTGTGGAGAGTGGTCTCAGCATGGTGGTGGCTGGTTCTGGAGGTCTTCGGCTGCCAGAGCCCTGGTCGGGGCAGGGAGGGAAACTCAACCTGCTCCCCTCCAAGGGGCCCTGGCGAGGACAGCCAGGCGCTGGGGGGAAGGAAACTCTGTGCTGTTCTCTTTCGGGAGCTGGGTTTTATAGTCTCTGAGTCTTGGCTGTTGATGGGATTTCATGGCGCCAGGGGGCCAGTTGGTGGGTGTGACCCCCGCCTACTGGAATTTGGAGGATCTGGGTGGAGGATGCTCAGCCCCGATCTGAGCAGGCTGTACAAATATAAGCATATAAATACATTTATAGATAAATAAATATTATATGAGAGCTCAGCAAGCTACCGAGAGTATCCCGCCCCCATCGCAGAGCCTGACAAGCTACCGTGGCGTATTCAATATGCCAAAAACAGTAACAGGTCTCACAATGGAGACGTTACTGGTGCCTGCTCGAGCAAATCAATGAACAATGGGACGACAGTGGTATACAGTGCTATATATAACATTTATCTCTGTATTTTATTTATTTACATAAATAAAACATCACTGTCACTGTCCTTCCGTTGTTAATCGATTTGCTTGAGCTGGCCCAGTAACGTTGTGAGACTTGTTACTGTGTTTGGCATATCGAATACGTCATGGGTAGCTTGCCAGGCTTTGCCGTGTGGGCGAGATACTCTCGGTAGCTTGCTGGGCTCTCCGAGAGGGGTGGAGGAATCGAACTCGGGTTTGCCGGGTCAGCCACGTGTAAGGTAAACACCCTACCCACTGTGCTAAATAAAACACATATGAATATAAAAGTAAATAAAATAATGTATGAAGTGTATTTTATTTTACGTAAGTATATCTATAGAAAGAAATATAGAATGTATTTATATACATAAACTGTTCTATATATTTTATTTATATGAATATTTTTATAATAGAAAAATATGTTATATATTTAAACATGTATAATATTATATATTTTAGGCCGAGCCGGGTTTGATTCCTCCGCCCCTCTCAGAGAGCCCGGCAAGCTACCGAGAGTATCTCACCCGCACGGCAAAGCCTGGCAAGTTACCCGTGACATATTTGATTTGCCAAACACGTAACAACAAGTCTCAAAATGGAGACGTTACTGGACCCGCTCGAGCAAATAGATGAACAATGGGAGGACAGTGTTTGTTTTACATAATATAAATATATTTAAAACATAACAATTTATAATATTTTTATAAAGTATGTCCTACTGTTGTTCATCAATTTTGCTCGAGTGGGTCCAGTAACGTCTCCATTCTGTGACTTGTTGTTACTGTGTTTGGCATATCGAACACATCACAGGTAGCTTGCCAGGCTCTGCTGTGCGGGCGAGATACTCTCCGTAGCTTGCTGGGCTCTCCGAGAGGGGCGGAGGAATCGAACCTGGCTCCGCCAGGCTGGCTGTGCGCAAGGCAAACGCCCTACCGCTGTGCTATGGCTCCAGCCCTATAAAGTATATAATATAAATATATAAATAAGAGTATAAATATATGAATTTTCTTTGAAGGCAGGAGCTACGTTTGTCAGTGCTCAGGAGCTGCTCTTGAATTGTCTGGGATGTAGGATTGAACCTAGCTTCCCACAAGCAGAACACATGCTGCAGGGTTTAAAACATCTCCCCTGCCCTTTCCCTGCCCCCAGTAGATTTTTTGTGGGGACCCATACCCGACTGTGCTCTGTGCTCTGGGATCACTCCAGGCTGGGTTCGAGGGGATATATATGGCGCAGAAGATTAAACCCAGGTTGCTTGCATGCAAGCTGGGCACCTTATCCGCTATGCCGTGGCTTCAGCCCTGGGTTTCTTATTACAAATAAGACTTGGCCTTTCTTGCCCAGAGCCTTATAAGAAACCCTTCGCTGCTGAGAAGTCCCCATGATCTGGGGATTGTGGTCCTGAAATCATAGCATTCTAGAGGTTCAAACCTGTGGTCTACCTGGGTCCAATTATTCCCCTTTTTTAGTAAAGGCTTCTAGGGACAGAGAAGAGTAGGGCCAGGCCCAAGGTTGCACAGCTGCAAGGAATTCCAGCTCAAGTGTTTGATTTGCAGAGGGCACCAGCTCCTTTCTCTGAAGGATTAGCCTGAGGGGACTTCCAGGTAGGGGAATGCAGGCCAAGTGACTTCTCCTCCTCACTCCCCTCCTCCACCCTTCCTTTGTTCTTCTGAATGAGGCACCACCTTGCTTCTAAGGGTTCCCAGCTCACCTTGCACCTGGAGAGAGGTAAGACCACTCATCCCTGAGCTGGGCACTGCCCACTGTGTGTGTAGTTTCTGACACCTATTTCTTATTTTTTTTTTAAATTTTAAAAAATTTTATAAAATAATTCACAATATCTGATTACATTTAATATTCAAACACCCATCCCACCACCATTACACCTTCCCACCACCATATTCCGGACGTTTCCATCCTGAACGCCAATCCTTAGCTGAAAGCAGAACCGAAATCATATATTTTGTATTGTTTGTTATGAAAAATCACTGAAAATGCTACGAAAAAGTGTCCTTAGGGAAAAGAGTGTGGAGATTTGTTGTACTTCACACTGGGGCCATTAAGCTCTTCTATAAGAGATCACTAACATGTTGTTAAAGGTTGAGCTTTGTGTGCTTTATATATATATATATGTATATATATATCTGTAAAAAAATGGATCACGATCACGATCATGACCATCCTGTTATTCGTCGATTGCCTTGAGCAGGCCCCAGTAACGTCTCCTTTGTCCTAGCAATGAGATTTTTAAAAAAGTGCCATATTCAAGGCTCTTTCAGAGTTAGGAGAATGAGACCCATCATTGTTACTGGTATTTGGCATATTGGGTACGCCACAGGGAGTTTGCCAGACTCTGCCGTGTGGGAAGGTTACATTTCGTAGCCTGCCAGGTGTCCAAAGTAGGAATGAGATAATAAGATGTCGCACAGCCTCGAATACGGCCGCGCGCTTCCCGGAGCTGGGTTTTATAGTCTCTGAGTCTTGGCCGTTGATGGGATTACATGGCGCCAGGGGGCCAGTTGGTGGGTGTGACCCCTGCCTACTGGAATTTGGAGGATCTGGGTGGAGGATGCTCAGCCCTGATCCGAGTAGGCTTGGAGATCTCAGTCCCAGGACCTGCATGCCTTTGTTGCTCTGCTGGTACCTTCATGTGTGCGGAGAGTGGTCTCAGTATGGTGGTGGCTGGTTCTGGAGGTCTTCAGCTGCCGGAGCCCTGGTCGGGGTGGGGAGGGAAACTCCACCTGCTCCCTTCCAAGGGGCCCTGGCGAGGACAGCCAGGTGCAGGGGAAGGAAACTCTGCGCTGTTCTCTTCCGGGAGCTGGTTTTTATAGTCTCTGAGTCTTGGCCGTTGATGGGATTACAACGGTGCCAGGGGGCCAGTTGGTGGGTGTGACCCCTGCCTACTGGAATTTGGAAGATATGGGTGGAGGATGCTCAACCCTGATCCGAGTAGGCTTGGAGATCTCAGTCCTGGGACCCGCATGCCTTTGTTCCTCTAAAAAAAAAATGTATATTTCCCACTAAGATTGATTGCCTCCTACTTTGACCCTATCAAATGCGGTGGGGTAATCTTGGAGTATGGGTAGGGTGTGTGGTTTGAAGTACCACAAAGGAGAGAGAAGGAAGAGAAGGGAGAGGACATGTGATCTGGATGATGGCCGACGATGAGATTATCTGGCACCAGCCAGAGAATAACACCTATTTCTTATATTTTGGCGGAGGGGGCGGGGTGGGCATTGGGCCAGACTAGGTGGTACCCAGGAGTTACTCCTGGTTCTGCACTCTGACTCTGGGGGATGCTTAGGGGGCCATAGAAGAAGCCGGGGATCGAACCCAGGTCAGCTGCATGCAAGGCAAGTGCCCTCCCAACCCTGCTGTATTTTCTCCCTGGCCCCACCGACACCTGTTTCAGATGGGGTGCTGCCCTTTGAACTCCCAGACTGAGATTGAGTATGGTCAGGTACCAGTCACTTGGAGACTGGGTCACTCCAGAACTCTGTTTTGCATCTCCCACCCCAGACTTCTTCCTTCCTTCCTTCCTTCCTTCCTTCCTTCCTTCCTTCCTTTCTTTTTCTTTTTGGGCCACACCCGGCTTTGCACAAGGGTTACTCCTGGCTCATGCACTCAGGAATTACTCCTGGCGGCGCTCAGGGGACCATATGGGATGCTGGGAATCGAATCCAGGTTGGCCACGTGCAAGGCAAACACCCTACAGGTTGTGCTATCACTCCAGCTTCAAGATTTCTTTTTTCTTGACCACAATCTTCCTCCCCATTCCGTTTTCCAGATTGCTCTACACAAGCGCCACGCTCACCATAGCCTTCACCTCTGCAGGTGAGTGAGTACTGGCTGGTGGATGGGAAGGAGCCAGGTGCGGGGTTGAGGGGTGTGTGTGTGTGCGTGGGGGGGGGGGGGTGCTGAGGGGCGGGTCTCTCACTCCCATAGTCAGGCAGAGGCTCACAGATTTGGAACTTGAAAGAATCCTCGTGTGATCCTCAGTCTCGGGGAGTAGACAGGTCTCTGGAGACAGGTGAGGACTCAGGGCTGCGAGGGGGCTGGTGTTGTGCTTCGGAGAGGCAAATGTGTTCAAAAGATGCCATCCTTCCTTTTGCACGGACTCAAATGGTTTGAGTCCATGCTCTTTTTCAAAATGATGATGCGAGTGACAGTTGTTTTTGGAAATATCCTTATTTAGCAGGAGAGAAGTTTGACAGCCCAATTGTAGCGAAAGTTTTCTTGCCTGGTTTCACTGGTCTATAAATAATGTCAAGTCCCCTGAGCCAGGGGATTCCAGTCTGCCTCTTCTATCCTTTTCTTCATTTTGTAAACAGGCCACAGTGAGATTCTCATCAAACACCCACCTACAGCCACAGAGCAGGTTCGTGGGATGTTCCGGGGAGCCCCCTCGTGGGGGTCATCCTCAGAACTGCTCAGGGAATTAAGTGGTGCCTGGGACTGAACCCAGGGGCCCCACCCTGTCCTCCCGCCCCAAGCCTGTGCTCCAGCCCTTGAACCATGTCCCTGGCTTCTGACTCTGCTCTTGCCAGCTTCTCAGTTACGCTGGCTTAGAGATAACGTCTCAGATTCCTCCCTAGAGTAAGATCATATGACTCAGTATGCGTGCATGAGTGTGTGTGTGTGTGTGTGCGTGCGTGCGTGCGTGTGTGCGTGTGTGTGTGTGTGTGTGTGTATTAGAAAGTCAAAGGACATGTTTCCTGAGGCACCAGTCTGCCGCTGGATGTCATCTCTCTTTTGCCTGGGGTCATCTCTCTTTTGCCCTGTAAATACTGTCTTGGTCCACACAGTTCTCGAGTTATTTTAAACCGTTCTCCTCCTCAGATGGACTTTATCTGAACTAAAAGCTTGTAAATGATTTTCCAGTGGTTTGGATTCACATTGGTGATTCACTGGGGGCAATTCACCCCCCCACACACACCATCTGGGGCTTTTTGGATTTGAGAAAGTGTTGAACCTTATTTGACCTATTGTGAAATGAATCCGCTTAGTGCATTGACAGATGTGTCTTCTTAAAGAAACTTAAAAACTAAAAACTAGTACTTTGTGTTAAAGATAGGAATGGAATGAGCTAAAATACTCTATGATTAGCTCTTTGTAGTTGTGGTCCTCAGTTGCTGGTCCAAAGACCCGTGAGGGGCTGTGGGCGTAGAAATATTGAGGACAACTGGTCTACCACAGTGGTTAGAACTGCTGGTCCGTGGATCCGATGCACAAAGGTGCTGTTCCTGAGGTGTAAACATGTTGAAGAACTCTGTTGGGGGGCTGGAGCAATAGCACAGCGGCTAGGGTGTTTGCCTTGCACGTGGCCGACCCAGGTTTGATTCCCAGCATCCCATATGGTCCCCTGAGCACCGCCAGAAGTGATTCCTGAGTGCAAAGCCAGGAGTAACCCCTGAGCATCGCCAGGTGTCACCCAAAAAGCGAAAAAAAAAAAAAAACCCAACTCTGTTGGATAGTACTTCTCAATTTTAGAGCGTTTATTAAGGCCTGTGTACAGATGCTCTTAACAAGCATGGAATCACCTGGTGGGAAAATCGTTCCCTTCGAATTTCCCTCAGCCTTCTGATTTCACGAGTCCAGATCTTGTTTTCCTTCCCTGTCCCCGTTGCTTTAATACAATTTCGTTGTTTTTGGTTTTGGGGCCACACCTGGTGGTGCTCAGGGGTTACTCCTGGCTTTCCAGTCAGGAATTAACTCCGGTGGAGCTTGGGGGACCTTATGAGATGCTGGGGATTGAATCCAGGCTGGCCACATGCAAGGCCAATGCTCTGTCCATTACACTACCTCTCTGGCCCCAGTCTCCCTCCCTTCTTATTTTAATTGAAGCACCATGCTTTACCATACTATTAACGAAACTTTCATACATACATCATCCCAACTTACCACCAAGCCGAGTGCCCCCTTCCCTCCACCAGTGTCCCAAGAACCTGATAGCCCCCCTCCCCCATGACCTTGTTTTCTTATATCATATTGATTCCTATAGTTACCTTCTCTTTGTGACTAGCAACCATCCTGGAAAAGGGTACCAAGTTTTCATTAAAAAGAATTATTTCTGTTGAATAAAAGAAAGTTAGCTTAAAACATTGAAAAACACTCCTGGATTATGGCCAGACTCATTCATGGACATGAGCCAAAAGCCCAAGTCTGTGTTTTGGGTAAAATACACTTATATTTTTGCTCTTTTGGGTCACACCTGGTGATGCACAGGGGCTACTCCTGGCTCTGCACTCAGGAGTTACTCCAGGCAGTGCTCAGGGGACCATATGGGATGCTGGGAATCGAACCCAGGTTGGCCACGTGCAAAGCAAATGCCCTACCCGCTGTGCTATCTCTCCAGCTCCAAGATTCACTTTTTAAAGGGCTGCCCTCTCTTTCACTTTTTGGGGAGGATTTAGTGCCACAGCTTCAGTGCTGGGGCTACCACTGACTTGTTAGGGGTAGGGACCATGCGGTTCCAGGCAGAGGTCAAACCATGACCCTTCCCTGTTCCCCTCTACCCCACCCCCCACCCCTCATCCATCTCTCCAGTTCCCTCTTTGGCACTTTCTGTTGTTGTGTTGTTTGCTACTTTTGTCCAGCTGGATTGTCATGCCTTGTTTGCATGTGAGTCTTTGCAGGGACAGGAAGTACGCTTTCCTCTTTCTGATCTCCAGTGCCAAGTGGGGGCATTGAGGAAGTCTTTTCAGTTTAATGAACCAGTTTAGTGCTTGTTCAATTGAACCCTCAAATGTTAAGCCCGGAATTCTGCGTTCCCAAGGGGCAAGCCGGACAGACACGAACACGATAATACAAAAGCAGTAGGAGTTTTATTCCAGTATACTGAGGTCAACTGTCTCACCCACAGCGTGGTCTCTTGATAGCGACCCCGACTTCAGGCAGCAAGCATTTTATATAGGGTTGGATTATATTCGCAGCACATGCCTTATTGTTTCGAAAAGAAATCTTACTTAACTACCAAACAAAGATGTTTTGCAAGTGTCCAGAGTAACAGTAGTCAGGCAATAGTTAAACAATAGTTTCCACCAGCAGTTTGTGGTTACATATGCTACTCATTCTTTTTAGGGTTAACAAAAGGCAATTTCTGGGGCATTGTGAGAATTGATTAATTGAGCCCCACTTGCTGAGCCCAGAAACTTTCCCAGGTGGGTTCAGGTTGGCTAGTTACACGTTGTTTTATTGCTAGGAAACCGAATCTGTTGCAGTTCCAGGAACTGAACCTGAGGCCTACTTGATTTTTCTCATTTCTGCCGCCTGTCATGGTGTCTGTGTCACCCTTACAAAATGCCTGGCCATCTTCTCCCTCCACTCCACTCCGTGTGGCCAGCGAGGCAGGAACCACTAGGTCCCTTGCACGGATACGGGGTGGGGTGGGGGTAGTGAATCACCTCTCAGAGCTGTGGAGTGATCAGAGCCTGGGGGTGGGCGCTGAGCTAGGGGCTGCATCCAGGCTGCTCTCCTTGCAGGGGCAATGGTGAGCTGGGAAGGGGCGTGTGTGTGTGTGTGTGTGTGTGTGTGTGTGTGTGTGCGCGCTGCATGTGGTTGAGTGAAGGCAATTGAACCACGGCTTTGCACCTTCAGTCTGCCTTCTATCTCTGGCCACTCCAACCTACCACACACAGAGAGGGAACGGTTGTGTCCTGTGTCGCTGGCCCAGATCTCTGTAGGAGCTTGGGGTGGGGGTGGGGTGGGGTGGGGTGGGGGCAGCCTGCACAGGAAGCTTAAGGCTGGGCAGTGTTGGAGCCCTCCGCTTAGGACTGTAGGGGGTTGGAGCACGTGGACACTGTGTGCCGGCCACCCTGGGATGCTTCCCCGGCCCCCCTCCCCCGACCCGTCCCCAACCTCTGCCTCTGTTTCCAGAATCGGCCGTGCTGCTCTTCCTGGCCATGCCCATGTTGACCGTCGGGGGAATCCTGTTTCTGCTCACCAACCTGCAGGTGCAGCTCACCCCAATCCAAATCCGGGATGACAAGGGGGAGGGTGGAGAGGAGGAGGGTGGAGGGAGGCCTGGTAAATGGAGGCAGGGAGAGAGGGGGGACGGAAGGAGGGGGAAGGGGGCCAAGGAAGGAGGGAGAAGCGGTCTCCTTTAACTGGCCTCACATGAGCAGGGCCTGGCCCAGGGTGGGTGTTCCCGGGTTCCAGGTGGATTTGGGAGTCATGAGGACCCGGCCTGCGCTGGCTCGAGGCTCAGGATATTTTCTTCAGGAGTAAACAAGTGACTCAGGCCCCGTCATGTGTTTTGCAGATCGGAAACCTCTTTGGCAAACACCGCTCGACCATCATCACCCTCTACAATGGAGCGTTTGACTCCTCCTCTGCCGTCTTCCTTATCATCAAGGTAAAAATAGCGACGGCTGATGTTTGTTGGGCACTGACGTTTGTTGCATGATTTCTCTCCACCAACCCACTGAACCAGTTACTATTTTATCCTTATTTTACACGAAGCATCGGTGTCTTAGGGAAATCAAGGGGACTGGGGAGGGTTTTGCAGTTCATAAACATGAGTTGATTATGAGCAAATAAGATTTTTGTTGTTGTTTAGGAATTACAGCTGCCAGTGCTCAGGGCTTACTCCTGGCTCCATGCACAGAGATTATTCCGGACAATGCTTAGGGGATCATATACGGTGCCTGGGATCAAGCTTTATGTAAGGCAAATGCCTTAACCATTGTACTATCTTTCTGGCCCCTGGAGTGAATGAGCTTTTTGAACTTGAACTCGGGTCAGCTTGCTTCTGAAACCTGAACTTGTAATAATTAACTCCTTTGTTGCATGAGTGTAGGGTTTGGGGACTGAGGCTAACAGAAGGCTGGCTTTCATGAGCTTGGGTGTTCGGGAAGGGGTGTTTGTGACTGAGCTTCTGACATGGACATCAAGGTGGGAGGTAGCTGACGGACAGTAGGACCAGACAGATGCTGCTGCATCTCTCCTGGAGGCTGATGTTGGGGAGCAGAGGGGTGGGAAGTTGCTTTGTTGAAGCTGACCTGGCTATTAGATCCACGCAACAGCCCTTCCATCTTCTGGGGTATTTTGTTTTGGGACTACACCTGGATCTGTGCCAAGGATGGAAACTGGACCTTTCACGTGCAAAGCATGTGCCCAACCCACAGAACCAGCACTCTGGGGACTGCACATTCTATTTTTATTTTTTCTTTTTTGGGTCACACTCGGCAGTGCACAGGGGTTACACCTGTCTCATGCACTCAGGAACTACTCCTGGTGGTTCTCTGGGGACCATAAGGGATGCTGGGAAATGAACTCAAGTTGGCCATGTGCAAGGCAAAAACCTTACCCCCTGTGCTATGGCTCCAGCCCCAGGACTGCATCTTCTTTTTTTTTTTTGCTCTTTGCTTTTTGGGTCACACCCAGCAATGCTCAGGGGTTACTCTTAGCCCTGCACTCAGGAATTACTCCTGGCGGTGCTCGGGGGACCATATGGGATGTCGGGGATAGAACCGGGGTCGGCCGTGTGCAAGGCAAACGCCCTACCCTCTGTGCTATCGCTCCGGCCCCCGACTGCACCTTCTTAATGCAAACAGTATCATCCAGGCTGTGATGAGCCCATTCATCTGAGCCAACTGTGCCCATCTCTTTCCCCAGTAAGGGGCAGGTGGGCACCTTCTCCAGCACTTGTAAATGAGATGAAAACTGGGGGAGTTGAGGGGACATTTTCCTCCTCCAGGGAAGGTGAGAGCAGAGCATAAAGTCTTTCTCCTTCTGAGAGAAAGTGTTGGGAAGATGGACTGAGCACACGCTGTGCATGCAGGAAGCCTGGGTTTGATCCCTGTCATTGTCTCTGAGCACTGCCAAGAGTGACCCCCAAGCACTGAGCCAGGAGATGTGCCTCAGCACTGCTGAGTGTGGTGCAAAAAAGGAAAGAAAGGAAGGAAGAAAGAAACTTTCTCCCCTCCCACCCTTCCTCTTTGATGTGGTGGGGGCATATGATGGCTGGAGTTACAGCAGCCCTTTTGTGATATTGAGGCAACAAGCTGGAGGATAAAACCTCTCACGCCAAGGATGACTCAGTTAAAGGAATGAGGGGAGTTCATGGTACCCCCAACTGCCTAGCTTGGGTCTTTCCTCTGAAAGGCAACCCAAGGTCTCCACTCCTTCAAGCCTTTCTCCTAGGGGCACAACTACAGAAACTACAGAATCACTCTGTAGAGTCTCTCTCCTTTCCCTGGACATGCTTCCCTGTCTCTCCTGCCACCTTAGACCCAGATGTAGAAGAGCCCCGGGAAATAACTCAGGGACTTAGGGTCAGATGCAAGAGAGGGCTCAGGTGGGGGCTGGCTTCTTTTTGAACTTGACCTTGCAGGTACTTCCTCTGTCTTTGAGCACATGAGTGCACCTCTCTGGACTTCTCTTCCACCCTCCGTAGAATGAGATTGGGCTAGATGAATGGTTTTTAAACTGGGTGTTGAGAATCCCTGAAGTGTGTTTGGGGGGTCCCTTTGATGTTACCTGCATGGTTGCCAAGGAGAACGAAAGGGTGGGTGACTGGTCGGCTGCCCAGTGAGGCGTCTCCTCAGTTGAAGTTTTGTTTGACTCAGAGAACTTGGCTGCTTGGAAAGAGAAAACTGCTGGGCCAGAAGATGTCAGAGAACCCCCCTACTCCTGGGAAGCTCTGCAGTTTATGGGGTGAGGGGTGCTCCCAACCCCCATTGCTGGCTGGGCCTTGGCGTGAGGCTCTGGGTGTAGCAAATGTCTTTCATCCGCCTCTAGGATGCAGGGCAGGAGGCCATGCTGAGATATGCATCGTGGGAAATTCCCACCCCTGCTCTGCGCGACTGTATTTGTGCCCTTAGAGATGCCTAACTCTTAATTAATTAATTTTGTTTTATGGATCACACCCAGCAATGCTCAGGGGTTACTCCTGGCTTTGCACTCAGGAATCACTCTTGGCAGTGCTCAGGGGACCATATGGGATACTGGGAATTGAACTCAGGTTGGCCCCATGCAAGGCAAATGCCCTACCCATTGTGCTATCGCTTCAGCACCCAACCTAACTCTTTTTTTTTAATTATTTTTTTTTTATTGAATCACCGTAAGATGCACAGTTACAAAGTTGTTCATGATTGGGTTTCAGTCAGTGTTCCAACACCCATGTGTTCACTGGTTATGTTCCCTACCACCAATGTCCCCAGTTTCCCTCCAACCACCTAACTCAGAGGCATTATAATCCCTTAACTGCAGGGAGCAGCCCCCTGGCATAAAGTTTATTTACAGTGTCCTGTGACCCTCCTCATCCTCTGTCAACATGATTTTCCCCTTCTGGTGAAAGTGAAACTCTATCCCCAAGAATCAGCAAGTCCCCATGGAAGAGGCTGTGGCTTATGTTCCCATAGAAACACTGGCCAACTATTTGTATTTTATGTATTTATTTTGTGAAGCAAAAGAGTTTAGAATGTAAATTATTTTGATAGATGTGAGGGGAGAGGAAGAGGGAAGTATGTGTTCGAGAGAGAACACAGGCATCTCCAGAGTAGAAATAATCAGAGTCACAGAGGCAAACAAGCCCCATGTTTGAGGGAGAAGATGGTCTTGAAGAGGGAGCTGCCCAGGTGTGGGGGCAGGAGAGAGAGCACTGTGAGTTGGGCACTTGCCTTGCTTGCGACTAACCAGGGTTCAATCTCTGGCATCCTGAACAGTCTCCTAAGGCCCTCCAAGAGTGCTCATCGAGCACAGAGACAGGAGTTAAGTCCTAAGCATAGCTGGTGCATCTTCCCCAAGCAAAAGACTAATAAAAAGTAAGGTGAAGCTTTGCCCTTGTATAGTTGAAAAGGAAGAAAGTTGAGGGATTTTGTGTGGAAAAATAAGTCAGAAGGGAAAAAAACAAGTATTGGATGGTTTCACCCAGGTGTACTAGCATAAGGATCTAAACCGATGAGTAGGGGCTGGAGTGATAGTACAGTGGGTAGGGCATTTGCCTTGCACGTGGCTGACCTGAGTTCGATCCCTGGCATCCCATATGGTCCCCCAAGCACTGCCAGGATTAATTCCTGAGTGCAGAGCCAGGAGCAATCCCTGAGCATCACTGGCCATGACCCAAAAAAAGCAACAAAACAAAACCCAAAACAAACAAACAAAAAAACCCCAAAAACCAAAACCCCATGAGTATAAAAAGCAAAATAAACCTGACATTGACTCTTGAACTAAGGCTGCAGGGTGAGAGAGAGGGACTTTGTGGAGATAGTGGAGAGGGTACGAGAAAGGGGACTTGATTTTTTATTTTCCTGAGAAAAAATGATAAAAATGAACAAACCTCGAGGGCTAGAGTGATAGTACAGTGGGTAGGGCCTTGCATGTGCCAGCATGGGTTTGATCCTTCTCATCCCATATGGTTCTCTGAGCACTACCCCTGAGCACTTCCTGAGTGGAGAGCCAGGAATCACCCTTGAGCATCACCGAGTGTCACCCAAAAAATCCCTAAATAAATAAATAAATAAATAAAAAGAACCTCAAACAAACCCCATTGTGGTCTGGAGAGATAGGTCAGGGGTGGACTCTGGTTCAGTGGAGGGCTGACTCTTGTTCAATCCCCAGCACCACATACGGTCCCCTAAACACTGCCAGGTGACCTCCAACTTCTCCTCCAAACCCTCCCCCAACCCTCTGAGCTCCCTGGTCTCCCCAGCACACAGCCCTTGGCAATCACTCTACTGCCCCCGTCTCTGTGGATCTGGGCATGCTGGAGTCTCACTGCTGTAAACTCCCAAGAATACTTCAGAGTGCTGGCCCTGGGCTGGCGCGGTAGCACAGCGGATAGGGTGTTTGCCTTGGACGCAGTCAAGCCGGGTTCAATTCCCGCATCCTATATGGTCCCCCAAGCACAGCCAGAAGTAATTCCTCAATGTAGAGCCAGGAGTAACCTCTGTGCATTGCAGGGTGTGACTCAAAAAGAGAGAGAGAATAAAAAAGAGTGTTGGCCTTGGCAAGACGGCTTCACTTCCCTGGACGTGATTTTGTTTCCCTGGACATAAGGTTGGCAGGGTTCAGCCATGCCCACGCCAGCTTGTACACTTCCTTCCAGAGAGGCGACTCTTTTTCCTCTGCGGGTGGAGACCCCAGTGTACTTCCCCATTCACCCATGGGGGGGGGGGGGGGCTCTTGATCCCCTGCTTCATATTTGGAGCAGAGTTACTGTGGGGAGAGTGTCCCAGTGACCTTTCCCCTGCCTTTCTCTGCAGCTCCTGTACGAACGGGGCATCAGCCTTCG